AGAATATTTCACTCCAATTCAGCTCGCAATTCAATTGAGATTCAAATTCACTTAGTTGCAAACGGGCCCAAAAACAGAGCCCAGCTCGGGCGAAGGCCGCCTATTGTATTACATGGCTGGGAATACGGCACCACCACCAGGAACAGCACCACGAACACCATCATCGCCGCCAATCTGTCCGCCAGCGCCGCTTCCGCTTCATCATTCGCTCATCACCCGCAACTGCCACGCCCCCTGTGAGGGCATTAACGCTTTGACGTGTAAATGTTATCTCTTTTACAAATTAAGCCCCGCCACGATTTGGCATCAAGTTCGGTTCGCTTCGGTTCGTTTTGTGGCAGATTTTTTGTACAATTCTATTAGGAATACCCCCGCCCCCTGCCACCCCGCCGCCCGCTCAGCTGCAATCATGGCCAAATGTTTAACAATTAAATGTAACTCGAACCTGCTGAACTCTCGTTAATGTGCCCTCAATGTGAGTCTACAGCCCAAGCTATTGGGATCAACAAGGTCATCAAAGTGGTTTACATATGCTTATGGGATTTATGTGGGTTCGATTAGGATACAGTTCAACTTGTTGGATGTTGTTCAATTTAAAAATACGATTTTATAGTATTAAAGATAAAGTGCGAGATGTTAATCTGATAAAGAATTGTTAGAGATTAGAGTTTCTAGTTTTCTAGTCAGAAGTTACCTACTAAAAGATACCCCAAATCCTTCTGTTAACTTAACATTGATGTAAATAAAATAACAATAATGTAGCAACAACCAGGATTGAATCGAACGCATTGTATTCATTGTCATTACAGGGTTGATTAGGTAATAATAATCAAAATTAATAATACTAATAATAATTGCGCTAATCACAATAGTAATAATAATAATCATAGTAATAATAACAATAATAATAAAACACATTAAATAACAGCAATAATAATAATGATGATACTAATTACTAATAACAATGAAAATAGCAATAATAATGATAGTAATGATAATATTTATAGTAATAATAATAATAATGGCAATAGCAATGATAGTAAATGTAATAATAATGATAATGATAATATTAATAATAATAATAATAATAACAACAATGATAATAATACCAGTAGCAATTGTGATATTAATAATAATTGTTTGTAACTATTATTATAATAGTAATTATTATTGTTATTTTTACTATAATCAATACTGCTATTATAATTATAGTAACAATTAAAAGCATTTATATATTAATTAAATTGCTTTAAGACAACTTTTAATTAGTTTAATTTGCATTTCAGTAAATTTTAGGTTGGGCGACTGCATTTGCTAGATAGTCTTACGTAGCGCTGCGAGGCCTATGCGAGGCTTTAATCGGTTTAGCTCTTGGACCTCACACACATGCACAAATCGGTGCACATGCCAAGCCAAGCCAAGCCAAGCCAAAATATGATCCTAAGCGAGCGGCGAATGGGGCAAGGGCTTATGTCGAGCGCACACTTGGCTGCCAGAAACCGAATCTTCAGACTGCCAAAATGATCGAGAAGAGGAAGAGCTCTATACAGGGAATAGGTATATGGGCATATAGCATATTTATATATGCAGCACATCTAACACAACTGAGGCAAATCGGCTTAGGGCAAAATAATCGCCGTTTGAAAAAAAAAACAAAACAGAAAACACGCGCATCAACGACACCAGTTTCTGGGCGAATGGGAAAGAGAGGGAGGAGGGGGGATCATACTGAGCTGCCAATGATTATAAACCAATAACAACAACAACAACAACAACAACAACTCGCTGTGGCTGCCACAGATTTAATCGTGAAACCTTCGGCTGTCAATGTATTTTCCATTTGTCGCCTCTAATGACATATTTAAGGTGTTAATCGTCTCATTGCTACGCTGCTGCGAAGCGGATTTGCCGGGCACGGGGATTGTTTAAAGCCACCACACACACACGCACACACACACACACACACACACACACAGATACACTTTTGTATCTGTGCATAGATCTGGTGTAAATATTGATGTTGCGCTTATGCGCCTATTGCCTGCATTGACAAAGGACTTTTGCTGTGCATTATCCTTAGCCAGCGATCTACCCCTGCCCCTGCCCCTGCCCCTGGACCCGTGTCTCTATCAGTTGCAGCCGCTGCTCAGTCAATCGTGTTTGGCTTTATGGCGCATTATCCCCTAAATCGCAAACAAAACTGCAAACAAATTGCCGCTGCAAGCCCAAAACGCAGCAGTCAGGCTTAAGGCCAACAACAACAACAACAACAGCAACAACAGCAACAACAACAGCTAAAGCATATGGCTCAAAGGCCTCGCACCAAATTGGCAAATGGCCTCAGCTAAAGGCATTCATGGAAATAAGTCGAATTTTCATTGCTGCCGACATCGATATTTAGCCAAATAGTCGTCTAGTAAATCCGCACACACACGCACACACACACAGACACACACTCGCACACACACACACATGCGCAAAAAGTGTTTCATCTAAGCCAAATGCATTTAACATATTTATTTGCAGCTTCACGTTTAATTTACTTAAGCTCAGCTGTTTAGTTAATATGCTGCAGCTGCTATTTAGCCAAATTACAGGGTATTACTTGTGCATGCATTTTGCAGCAGCAAAGAAAAGACTCAGCGCACCGGCTTGCTTTGTACATTTTCGTAAAAGCAGCAGTTGAAAAGGTTTTATTTCGAACTTACGCATTTATGCAATATGTTTCTATATATACACACACACATACATACGCGTACACATATATATACTTAGGCTGCACTATTTTTAGCGCCTGCGCATTGCCTTATATACTTGCTTGAATTTTTAACGCGTTTCGCGTGCATGTTGAACCACTGTGCTGTTTGCTGCGCGCTGATTGGCGCCGCCGAGCCTGGCCAATGAGCATTAAGCAATTTGAGCTGCTTGTAAGCAGTGCTCGGGCTAGAACAATGTTTAGCAAGCAGCTGTAAATTCCCTTTGGGAACATATTGCTTTTACAATATGGAAACAACTGTTAAGCACTCTTACTAACAGCTGTAAATGCTTAACAGCTGCATATCTAACATCTGTTAGCTATAAATACAATAGCAGCTCTGCTAACGGGCAGCTGCTTGATTCCCAATGTTACGGGGAAATTATATAGACCGGAAGCGGAAGCAAAGTTTAAGCAACTTTTCAATATCTGCTTACAGTTAACAGAGCAGGAAAGTTAACTATAACAGAATATGTAAACATTTGAATACGTAAATATAAAGACGTATGTATAGCCTGTAATTTTTGTTAGTTCTTGAATTTTTCAAATTACGTATGTCAATATATTTAACTACAGTAATTCTAGTTTTCTTTTAAACCATTTTTATTTTTAAAAAAATTAACATGCCTTTTATTGTTTTGTAGCTATAATTATAATTACTAATTAAGTAAATGTTTTGTTACCTTTCTTAGCCATTTTAAATGTGTTTTATTTCGGTTTTCGGTTTCCGCTTGATTTTCCATAATATTAATCTATTAAAAATTCAACATGAAAGTTCAGCTAAAAAATTGCTCAATTGTTGCGTTCCACGTTAAACGTTTTGATTTTTGATTTGTTAGAAAATTGATTTAACAATTCTTTTTTTTTTTTTGTTTTTGAACCCAGCCACTTTTGCATTACTATTTATAACAATTTGTTCGTATTCTAATTAACAATGTTATGCAAGTGTATGTGTGTGTATGTTTAAGAAATTATAGTCTGAAAAAAAAAATGGAGAACTAAATTACAAATTAATTATATTAATAAGTTTAAGTTGAGCATTAAACATTAAGTGAACACAACAAAAAGTAAAATATATATTTAAAAACCATTTACATAATTGGCTAGAGTTAACTACAGGTATGTCTCTGTGTGTGTGTGTGTGTGTGTGTGTATATATATGTATGTGTGTGTGTATAAAATGCAAGTGCTGCAGGCCCTGCCAAATAGTTGACTGTGCTAACAAATTAACAACAAATTTGATTAAACTAAATTTCAAGAAAACAAACAAAAAATAAACCCAAAAGCATTACAAACAATATTATACATATAACAAACTAAATTATATTAGATTATTTTAATATTATTATTTGAATTTTATCTGTTGCCACAATATCTCTGAACTCTAGAAATTGATGTGAACCTCATGGACGGATGTTGAATCTGAATCAGTAAAAATTGGCGCACAGCAGCTCAGCCAGAGGCTGCATACAACCCCCGAGTGATGTCAGCAAAGGGTATTAGAGGGGGGAATGGGGGAAAGGGGTACAGGGAGGGAAGGGGGGATCATTAGGGATCACAATTTTGATTAAAGACTAAAGTTAACTATACGCTAATCAACATTCAGTTTCTGTTTTTGTTTTTGCTTTTGTACAGTGTATACGCAAACGTGCTTCGTATCGCATATAGGCATCTAAGGCATAGTTTTTCATTTTCATTTCATTTTCATTTTCACTATTAAAAACAAATTAAATTTTCATTTACCAATTATTTACAACAATTTCGTATCACATTTGCATTTGTTTTCGTATTTTACAAAAAAATTGTTTTCCTTTGCTTTGCTTTCTTCTTTCATTTTTGTTTTGTTTTGTTTTAATTATTTTATAATTCTCTTTGACACAGTGTCGTTTGTTGTATGCATTCTTTTGAGCAGCACTGTGCGAATTTTTCCCTACCAGAAAACTGCGAGCTTTTGTAAAGCGCAATTTTCGCTGATTTCCACTTAAACTTATGTTTAATTGCTTCTTTTTTTTTTCTCTTTTCATATTTATAAGTTAGTTTAACTAGATGCTAAGTAAAAGGTACGAGTATAATAATATAATTCTTAAATTGTTGTGTGTAGCTGTGTGTGTGTGTGTGTGTGTGTGTGTGTGTGGCTAAAACAGTGTGTCCTGGCTATAACGTACAACTGTGTATATCAGTATTGCGTATATGGTATATATAAAGGTAATCATATATATATATATGTATTTATCTTGAATTAAACTTGTGTTCTATTTTGTTTTTTTTTTTGCTGCTGCTCTCTCGCTCTTCCTCTTTCTAGATAAACTCTGAAAAACATAACAAATTGAAAGCCCTTAGTTATGGTCATATGTGGAGTATATGGACAAAAGAGTGCACAGACCTCTATTTATATATATATATATGTATATATGTCTAGCTGTTTGTATATATATGTGTGTGTGTGTGTGAAATGCCTAGTTTAAAAACCTTGCGACGCCTTTGAGGCGCCCTCTGGCGTCGCCTACTTGCACTAACAACTGTTGCTTTACGTATAACGTAAGCTTAGCTGCCAGTTAAACTGGCTGTTAAATTTATTGCCTTTTTCTTTTACTCTTATTTATGTTGTTTTCCTTCCTATTTCGTATATCTCTTATATACACCAAAGACTACAGACTAAAAAAATTTGCATTAATTAAGACTACATAACAGGATTTGGGGATTTGGGATTTTTAATTGTTTGATTTCTCATTCGAGAAGAATTCTCAACTATCTCCTCTTCTCGTTGTGTGGGATTAGGTAACTACGTAGCTCTCATTGTTTTTTTCTTAACTCTTTTTTCTTTTTGTAAAAATTCTTGTTAATCAACTTTAAACTAGTGTGTTATATTTGTTCTGCTTCCGTCTCAGTTTGAGCTATATCTTGCATTTAGATAAATGTTTTTTGTTCTGTTTGTTTGTTGGTTTTTTTTTTTAGGTGGCTGGCAACTGTCAGTTGCCGCCAAACTGTGGCTGCTATTGATGGCTCTTGCTGAGCAGATGCGCATTGAACTCGTAAACGTTGTTCAGCTGCTCGCCGCAGATGTTGCACTTCCACGGATTGCTCTCGCAGTGGCAGCCCTTGTGCAGAAAGTAGAGCGTCTCGTCGGGGAACTCAATGCCGCAGAAGTGGCACGTCAGTATCTGCTTGCGATTCAGCTGCAGCTCGCTCTCCTGCCCCGTCGACGTGATCGTCCCGTTGCAGATGGGCGTCGCGGCGCTGTTCCCATTGTGACTGCCGCCCGCCGGCGTTGTGGGCGTGGTCGCACCCGTGCCGCCGCCCGCAGCGCCACCAGCCCCGCCGCCATTCAACATCGTCTGCGGCAGACTCTGCAGCTCGTGCTCCAGCGGCGTCGCATTCCGCGTGATCCGATTGTTCGCCTTCGCACAGATCCGTCGCTTCAGGTCCTCACGCAGCAGCGATTTGAGGGGCGAGACCTGCGGGGCAAGTGGGGAAAATATGTATTTAGTAAAGTCTTTTCTTATCCATGGTAACTAAATGACTTGTGACTCTCAAACTGTAACTTTAAAAGTGATTCAACAAGTGATTCATTTATTTTAATACGTCTTTGAAGAATAGTAACAATTTTCTATGGTAACAAAATGTTGTGACTCTCAAACTGTAACTTTAAAGTGCCTCTAAAACTGTTATCCCAGAAGTAACACTCTAAAACTGTGACTCCTCTGCTGTGACAATTGCTGTCGTCCAAGAAAATTGTTACTTCTGGAAGATATCCAAAAATGTGACTCTAAAACTGTGATTTCAAAATGCTTTATTCCATCTGAAAAGGTAAAGGGCACAAATCGCCCAAACTCGAATGTGACTGTAAAACTGTGATGCTAAAAAAATTGACTCTAAAACTGTGACTCCTATGCTGTGACAATTTTTGTCTCTAAGCGAAAAAAAGATCGGATTTAAGAATAAAATCAAGCCTCTCAAACTCAGCCACAAAGCGTCTAGATAGCTTGAGCCCCAACAATTAGAATTAACTTAAAATATTGGCTAGATGCCAATTTTGGGTAAGGAAAATTGAAGAAATATCAATATGAGTTAATTATTAATTAAATTCATTAATAACAATTGAAAGCAAAAGCCAAGGCCGAAGCCTGAACCAAAGTCTGGCTTCAAGAATGTGTCGAACTTAAAGGCACGAAGTTGGTTTGAACCAACAACTTTTCGTATGCTGGTTCGCAGCTCTGTCCTTAACAATTGAAAGCAAAAGACAAAGTCGACGCTTGAACCAAAATCCAACTTCAAGAATGTGCCGAACTTAAAGGCAAGCACTTGGTTTGAACCAACTACTTTTCGTATGCTGGTTCGCAGCTCTGTTCTTAACAATTGAAAGCAAAAGCCAAAGCCGATGCTTGAAAATCTTGCTTCAAAAAAATCTTGCTTCAAGAATGCGTCGAACTTAAGGGCACGAAGTTGGTTTGAACCAACGACTTTTTCATATGCTGGTTCGCCGCCCTGTTCTTAACTTAGCCAATTTCAACAGAAGCTACCTTAATCAGTGAGGTGATTCTGTTGTTGTTGTTGTTGTTGTTGCTATTGTTGTTGTTGTTGTTGGCAGCGATTTCCGTATCGCTGTTGGCATCGCAGGCGGCGCTGCCATTGAGCGAGTCCTTCTTGTCGGCATCCTCGAGCAGCGGCTCCTAGGGACAAACACAGTTAAAAGCTGGCGGGGATGGGGGAGCCTGCTCGACGGGGGCGACGGGTTGACTCACCTGCTTGATGGGTATTAGGCTAATCGAAGGCGTTATGTGATTCTCATGATGATGCGAATGTGGATGTGAATGTGGATGATGATGTGGATGATGGGCATGGGCATGGGCATGTGCATGGGAATGGTGGCTCTTGCTGCTGCTCAGGCTCGTTGTCGTGCTGGACGTGATGGGCGTGGCCTTGCAGTCCATGGGCAGATCCTGCGGGGCCAGCAGCAGCGGATGCTCCTTCATCTGCTCACAGCTGGACTCCAGATCCGTGTTGTTGTTGTTGTTGTTGTTGCTGTTGCAATTGTTGTTGTTATTGTTGTTGTTGTTGCCCTGTAAGACAAAGGATTCACGCAAGACGCAAATCAGCTGGACGCACATGAGCAAAGGCTAGAGTTGGATTCGGATGAGGTCGGAGCACTTACATTGAACAGCTCCGTGTTGCCGCTCTCGTTGAGCGTTGAGATCTCGACGTGCGGCGTCAGGAAATGCATCGGAGGCGTCGCATTCTCCAACGAGCGCATCGATTCGCCGCTGTCGCTCTGATGACTGGCCGGCGCCGAGGGTGGCGCCGCAGTTGGCGGCAGCGGCGGCGGCGGCTGCACATTGCTGAGCTGCGGCTGCGAGTAGCTGACGGCAGCTGCTGCCGCCGCGGCGGCGGCTGCGGCAGATGCCTGCGATTCGAGGGCGAGCAGCAGGGAGGAGGTGCCGCCAGGTCCGGGGTTGTCCAGATCGATGCCGTGCCGATTGAAGAAATGGATGCGCAGCGATTTCATGGAGCCGGCACGATAGCTGCACAGGGGGCACGTCTTGACCAGATCGTGCTGGCCGACGTGCTCGTTCTGGAAGTGCGCACGCATCGCAATCTGGCGCTGGAAGCCGCGATTGCAGATGGGGCAATGATAGGGCAGCGTCTTCGTGTGCGTCGTAAAGTGCTCGGCGAGATGATCCTTGCGGAAGAAGCGCTTCTGGCAGACGCGGCACTCGTACGGCTTAACGCCCGTGTGCCGCATCTTGTGGCGCCGCATATTGGCCCCATTCGAGAACTTCATGTTGCACACATCGCACTCGAAGACCTTGCGCGAGGCGTTCCCGCTGCTGTTGCCATTCCCATTCCCATTGCCATTGCCCGCCGGCGAGGAGCTGGCCGATGAGCTGGAGCCGCCGACTGCATCCGCGGCGGGCTCCTGTTTGCAGCTGTCCATGTGACTGACGCTCATGTTTTCGGGCTCCTCGTGGCCCTCGCTCTTCAGGCGCACCGCCACCGCCGCCGCGGCCGCCGCCTGCCCGGCCAGGCATTGGACCACGTGCAGCAGGAGCGTCGCCCGCGAGCTCGTCTCGAAGTTGTCGCAGCGCTCGCAGCGGAATGTCATCGGCGGCGAATGCGGCCCAGTGCTGAGATTCGTTGGCGTCGGCGTCGGCGTCGTTGCCAGCGAACGCGGCTCCGGCTGCTCGGATTCCGATGCGCTCGCGGCGGCCGCTTCCTTCAAACTGCGCAGCGCCAGCGCATTGTGGTGCAGCAGCGCGGCCGTCGTCGGTGTCATGTCCACGATGAGGCCACCCACATTTGTATCCTTCAGCGCCAGCTCCATGCTGCTGGCTGCTGTGCTAATCGCTTCGGCCATCTACAAAAGGATTCGGGAATTAGAAGGATGCACCCAAAAAATACAGATGCCCCACAGATAGTTTATGAAGAGGATTAGTTATAATGTCACATTATCAAGCTGCATACTCAATTTCAATAGCATAGCTTTAATACTTTCCGAACTATGGCGCTGAACCACTTTTGAACCGGTTCAGGGAATTAAATGGAAATCAAATATTGATGGAATTGTATAATAGTACTGCCAGAACTTCTTTTGAACCGATTCAAAAGCCGAATTTCAGCATTGTTAGTTATTGAACCGCTTTTGAACCGGTTCAGGATTTTAAATGGGCATCAAATATTATAAGAATTGTATAACAGACTGACAGAAATTCATTTGAACCAATTCAAAGCCGAATTCCAGCATTATTGGTCAGTTAGGGCATTGAACCACTTTTGAACCGGTTCATAGATTGAAAACTTACGCTAAAAAAGGAGAAATACCAATTTTTAAATCGATTAAATGTCTTTTCTATATTGCCAGAACTACAGCATACCTCAGTTTTGGCACTGAACCACTTTTGAGCCGATTCGCGAAATGAATTGAAAATCCAATATTGAAACTAAAAAACCCATTTGAACTAGTTAGATTAAGGAGGAGGAACTTAAATCTAGAATTCAGGTAGATTAACAAATATGCTATATGTTAAAGATGGCCGTTAAAGTTAATGATATTGAACCGGTTCAGATAACTAATCTCAGCATCACAACGGAAATACTTGCTGAGTTATAACAAGTGAAACTTTAGGGTTGTTGCGGCTTCATGATAAGATATATTAACCTTACCTTTATATGCTCAACCCAAAATCAAAAAAGGGGCATTGTTTAACAATTGCAATGAATACTATTTTTTTAAAATATGGTTCCGATTTTATTCCTTACGAGCAGGAGCTATACTTTTGAACCAGTTTTGAAGGGGATAAATGGGGTGAAAACGATATCTGGATTCGAGGTTCCTAGACGAAGTCATAAGATAGTATCGAAGAGTGGGAATAATAGGCATAAGCAACAGATCGATAAAAATCGATGTTAAGACGGGTTTTCTTAGGCGTAAATCGCAGATTAGAAGACCTAGATACAGCTTACTTATATTAACCCATATTATTTAGAGATTAAATTTATTTTTTCTATCAGGACAACTTCATCCATTTACCACTGAATTAAACAAAATAAGATACGAAGATAAAGCCTTGCGCTTTAGTATAAAGACATTTTTTTTAGCCATATTGTAGCACCGATTCATAATTTCATAAAGATCGGACTATAAATACCGAAGATCAACAGGAGTTCATTTCTTATAGATAAAGTAGGATTAATGGAAGAAGAAGCACAACTAAGATTTGATTGCATGTGTATGGGTGTGCGTGTGTGTGTGTGTATAGAAGAAGCTGCGAGCACAGCTGGGCTTAGGATAATTCCTAGTCCTAGCTTCATTCTATGATGCACTTTAATAATTATATTTATTAAAACAAGCAACTAACTTAAGTTAATCCAAGTATTTGTCACCTGTTTCAGCTAGTTAGTCGGATAATTTCATGGCAAATGCAGCTGTAATAAAACGAACACAGAAAACGGGGTCAGCATCTGGAGAGCAGCGCGGTTTGAGCCAATGCAATTTTGGCGACTCTCTTGGCGCTTGGCGCTTGGCTCTTGGCTAGCTGCAAATTGGCCAAGAACGACAAACGAGCCAGCACACACACACACACGCACACACACAGACACAGACATAGATATAAGTTGGGCCGTAACCATTTTGGGCGGCCGCCACGTTGCATGAAAATACCAAAGTTATTGAGGCCAATTGCTGGTCTCGCAGGTGGGCAAAGCGGCAACAGATACAGATACAGATAGAGATACAAACACAGCTGCAGATACATTTACAGCCAGCCAAAACGTTTTGAGTTGAATTCTAAAATCTAGCTGCTGCTGCTTTTAGCTCTTCAATAGGTCAAAGTTGGGATAGTTTTTCAAAAAGAGTCAAAAACTAAACTGAATTCGAGTTGAAATCAAAAAACAAATCGACGAGAAGTTGTTGCAGCTAATTTGTGATGCGACCTTGAAACAGATGTGTGTGCAGGTGTGTGAGTGTGTGCAGGTGTGTGTGTGTGTGTGTGCATTAGCATTAGCTAGTTCACAAAAGCCAGCTAAAGCCAGGGACGATCTTCAGCCAATTCCCCCGCACACGCGCATAATGGAGGCACACACACACAACAAACACACACACACATGTATATATATATTGTGTATTATATATGGTATATATACATCTGCACTCATCTCTGGGGCAGGTCATGCAAATTGAGGGCGAGTGGCATCATTTCATCATAAGGTGTTTTTTTTTTTCATTTGAGCCAAATGTGTGCCATCCAAGTTAGGCCTATTTCCGAGCGAGCCGCATTTATGTAAATCATTTCAAATACACTTTTGCGCCCTCAAAAAGAAATAATAATAAAATGTATATATGTAAAAAAAAAAGAAACAATAACAGGTTTCATTTGTGCCCTTGCCACGAAGGGCATGCACATTTTATAAAGGAATGTGTTACCTTGCCAAAGAGTTGAAGAGTTCATGAATAAATTTATATCTAATCCGTTTTTAAGACTTTAATTTGTTGAAATAACTAAAGTATTATTTAAAAAAAAAATTAGAAAATATCAAGTATTACGCTTTATATAAAAAACTCATTATAAAGTGCATTCAATCTTCGTTGTCAACAATTTCTCTTAATGCTTTTCTTTAGCTCTTTTAAAACTTAAAATATATTTAAGTTTATTTATATTTAAAATATATTTAAGTTTTCGAAGCTAGAGCATTGAAACTACATCTAATTTAACAAAGTTATTGTCTTTATTGTTTTCTTTAAAAGTCAGTTTCAGAATAATTTATACCCTTTAAAAAATATAAATAAATAAATAAAAAATACATTATAAATCTTATTAGTTTTTAAGAGCATTTAAAGTTCGCCCTATCACACGAACAATATTTTCTATATATTTATATAAACATCGATATTTGAACTAAGAGCAGAGCTTAAAGCAGATCATTTCATAGTCGTTTTGCTGCTGTTATCTCTTGTTTTCTTAATTGGTCTTATAAGAATTAACTGGAATCAATAGAAAATGCTCTTCGAAATATATATTTTGTACATATATTAAGAATAACTTACAGCTTTCTTTATGGAAGAGCATTCAGTCTTCGTCTTAACAGCTAAAAAGCTATTTTTCTATTTGTCTTCTAAGAATATGTTTGTATTATAAACAGTTACATTCCTATTGGAACACACACACACAAGCGAGACAGCGCTTTTCTTATAAGAGTTAGGGTATTTGAGCTGCCACAAAGATTTTCCATCTTGTTTTCATGGCTTTGAGCAGCGTCACACACACACACACACACACGCACACATACTAGACACATGCATACATGCACATAATTTGCTGTTGCCTTTTGCGTCTGGTTAATTATGAGGTGCTTTGGTGATTTTGGTATTTGTTGTTGGTTTTTTTTCGCTTTGAGCTTGGGCATTAAAATGCGAGAGTATTTTAATAGTTTGCTAGTTTGGCTAGTTAGCTGGCCCAATGGAGTCATTGGGTCAAGTTTTTAGAGAGCAACTGGGTCAGACGACGGCGGCAGCGACGCCAGCAGCGACGCGCGCTTGGGGTGTCCCGCATTTTCACGCGCTGCTCCCAATTGGCAAAATATAAAAAAAAAAACTTTAAATAGAACCTAAAAAAAGCTCCTTTGCTGCCTGCCAAAATGAGAGCACGCACACACACACACACGCACGCACACACATACGCACAGGCGAGGCAGCGCAGCGTCAAGCAGTGCAGAGCAAAGCAGCGCAGCGCGGCGACATAATTGGAACAATTTGAGAGCCCTTAATGACGTCGACTGCGACGCTTCTGCTGCTGCTGCCTTGTGGGCCAAATGTATCTTTCGCAGCAGTTTTTTAAATTCAAATTCAAATTTGATAAATCTTTTTGTGTTTCGATACACAAAACGTTGGTTAATCATATGCACGGGCCACACGCTGCCGAACACACTCACATAACCGATTTGACCTTAACAGCATTTGCCTACCGGTTTTCTAGTGGGCATCAAGATGAGGTCGCCCCTCACCTATTCCCCCTTACCCTCCCTCTCCCTCTCCCTCTTTATCCATCTCATCATCACTCTGCGCTTCACTGTTTCTGCCCCCATTCATGCGCCAAGAAAATGAGTCAGTCGGTCGAACGGCGATTTGTTGTTGTTGTTGTTGCTGTTGGTTTTTGTTTCTTTTTGCCTTTGCTTTGCGCTTTTTGCTTTTGCGCTTTCAACAGCCCGCAAATCAATGAACCATTCCCAAAGTGTTCCCCTTAAGTGCAGCTCTCAAGAACACGAAGTTCTAGTTGGTATCGAGTTGGATGTAGGTGAGTTTCTCAAATAAGTAGGGTCTAATATGTCGGATTTTGAGTTGGTTTGAAATTGGGTTGCAACCAATTAGCCAAGATTCTCACCACAGGCGCTGCATCCAATAAGACTAAGGTCTAATGAGTTTCGAGCTGCATGTAGCTGTAGTCTGCCCAATAAGTCTGGGAAATATTCAAGCCCGTTTTTAATAAGTCTGTCCTTGAGTTCGAATTGGGTTCTGATCAGATATGCGTATGTGCATTTATTTAACAAGTCTAATTAGTATACAATTCTAAAAACGTTAAAATATCGACAAGCCAGCGAATAAGCTTTGACTTATGTTTCTGATCAGCTGCGTGTGTGTGTGTGTGTGAGCTTCTGATTAGACTTCACGCCGATTAAGACCGACATCGAGTGGGTCTTAGATGTTTGAATGTGCGTAGCCTAAAAACGCAGCGCCCAACAAGTCTAAGCTCGAGTTTGCTTTAGATTGGATGTGTGTGTGTGAGTGACATGTGCTTAAAGAACAAGAACAAACAGGCACACGAGACGAGGGACAGACGGGCACGGGGCAGAGGGACTGGCGAGGAGAAACCACTTTCCACGGTGACACACTTAAATGCTACGTGCTCTTTTGCTACTTTTGCTGCGACTGCTGCTGCTGCTTTTATTACAGCAAACGTTGACGTTGACGTTGGCATGAACGGCGACGTCGGCAGCGACGCTACTCCCATAATAGAAAGTGGAACAGGAATTTCCCTCCCAACATCAATGCCAATGCGGCGACAGAGGCAGCGGCAGCGGTGGCGGTGACAGCGGCGGCGGCAGCAACAACAACTGCCGCACCGATGATTTCATTTTGGCTTGCAGCAGCAACGCCGCAGCAGCGCCCGTCGCGCTCATTGCGAAACACTTGCCACGGCCAACAAGCAAATGACAACAACAACAACAACAAGAAACACACGCGAGAAAAGCAGGCAAGAAAAAAGGCGTAAAAAATAGTTCAATTGTGGGCAGCGCCAAACACCGCTCAGCTGAGCGCCAAGAGCAAAAGAGAGCGGAGTAAAAAGAGCATGAGCGAGAGCGGCTGTGAGAGCGCGCGCGTGAGAGTAAGTAAGGAGAGAGCGCACCATATATCCAATTGGGCAGCTAGTTGGGACAGGCGGCATGCAGCATTTTTGTTTACGCATTGCTGTTGTTGCTGCATAGCTCGATATATTCATATGTCTATTTGTATTTAAATGTATATTTAAATATATAAATGCAACTGCAACTGGCCTAAACTTGTGCATTGACATTAAATAGACGCAACTTTCTTATTGGTTTCTAATTGCTGCACACAAATTACAATAAAGCGGCGTGAATTAGTTTCTAATTATTTATGGCACATGCTTGTCCCGTCTCGTCCCGTTCCGTTCCGTCCCGTTTCGTATCGTACCGCACACCATGCGCGCTCTCTTTGGTAAGTGGCACTGGCTGGCGTATAATTTTTTTTTTCTTTTTTTGTGCTGACCTAATTATACGCTCATTTTGATTCACTTGATTTTCTCTGCTCACACACACAAACACACACACACACACATTAGTTTCGTCACTGCGACGACAAGTGGAGCAGCAGCAGCATTTTGCGGTGGCGTTGGCGGCCCATTGGGGCAGGCGGCGACCGCAATTCTCGTTTTTTTTATGGTTACTGGGACGTACATTATTGGGCTTCCCATAGATATGTGCTGGTACTCACACGCTTTATACGCTTATTCGCACTCTATTTATGTTTTGTATCACTTTTCGTTCTAGTTAGTTGCCAATTGCAAATTCCAAATTGCATTTGTTTATGTGTTTCGCTCAGTTGTTGTTGTTGTTTTTATTTTGTATTTTTTTTCGGCTGCCGCTGATCGAAACACCTGCGCAACGTTCCCACGAATTTCACTGCGCGCGGGGATTCTTTTCGATCAGTCGCCGTTGTCTCTCGCTCACGTTGAATTTCGATTTCGATTCCGATTTCGATGCCGTTGCCGCTGCCGATTCCGCTTATTGGCGCTGGCGTCGACGACGCGCACGAACGAACTGAAACCCAAGCAAACTGCAATAGCTGGTGGAAGTACAAAATTTGTCTGTGTGTGTGTGTGTGTGTAAGTGTGTAACAGCGACGCGTCGAACCGACAGACAGAGCGAGCGTCTCTTGCTGCCTGTCTGACTGGCAGTCTCAGTTTCTGTTTTGTTTTGGGACGGAAATGCCAGTGGCGTAGACGCCGCTCCATTTTCGTACACCAAAGGGGGATCAATATGAAAACAAATAAGCTTAGCTTATTTTCTTCAGTTTAAAAGTAATAAATGAAATTGACAAAATAATTACTTGATTTGTGTTACAGGTCTATGGTATACTAAAATAATTCGGTTATTAAGATAAACATATCCAATTTATTGGAAATGATATTTTATAACTCCCTCTGATAAACGGCGCCCCTGTGCAAAGATTTGCCAATCGTTGGCGCGCTCAAGCTCTCAGTCGCAGCGCAGCAGCAGTAGCAACAACAACAACAACAACAACAATGCACAGTTGACTGGCACAAGCAGCAGAATTTGAAATTAGGTCAACAGGTTTAGTTGGTAGTGGGCCTGAAGAGCGCTCGGCGACTGCGGCCTATTCGCATGATAGTAACTAGAGTGTGTTATTGTTGTTGCTGTATCTCTTGTTGTTGTTGCTTTTTGTTTTTATGATTTGCTTGCTGAGTTTACCTATGCCGCGACCTCGGACTGTCGCTACCATCCGGGCATCCAGCGCATCCAACGCCAACGTCGACGTCGATGCCAACGCCGACGCAATATGCGTTCGTTTATTGCACCACAGTTGCAGTTGCAGTTGCAGTTGCGGGTGTTTGCAGGCACAATTTAAGCTTTTTTGCACACTGACACACACACACACACACAAATGCACACAAGCACACAAAGCACGGTGCATATGTGTGAATTGAGCACACGGCATGGTTAGAAGAAGGAAACGGTGTGGGAAGTGGAGGAACAGAAGGAAGAGGAGGCAGCGTGAGGTTAAGTTGCGCCCGTTTTCATTACATGCGATAGATCTTTTGCAAGCTCTGTGTGCGTGTGCGGTTGCGTGTGCGTGTATGTGTGAGCAATTGGGGGAAATTGTGTGCGTCAGTTAGTGCAAAATGTTGATGGGAATGTGCATACATATATGCATATGAATGTGTGTTTGTGAGTGTGTGTGTGGTGAGTACTGAAATGGAAACCCATATGCAGCCAATAAGAGCAAGCAAAACAAATGTGTGTGTGTATGTATGTAAATGTGGATATTTTTTGTCCATGAGACGCGCAGCATGAGTTGCCACACACTTCTTAGTTGGTTTCTATGTCACAATCAAACATACACACACAGAGACAGAGAGACACACACACATAGACGCAGATGCGAAAAGGTAAGAGAGACGGACAAAAACGAATAGTCGTAATGAGTGAGCCGCAGCAGCAGCACCTGCAAGCAGCGCAGCGCAGCGGCCGCACCAGATAATCCCAGTAGAAATTGAAACTGGCTGCGGCAAGTTTAGAAACTGGTATAGAAATACACACACACAAACACACACACACCCATGCATAAAAACATGCATATATATAGAGGCAATCGACCTTGTAGGAGTATTTTGTCTTGGAGCGCGCGCACGCCCGTAACTGGGCCAACGCGATTGCACTGAAATCAGGTGGGCGTGACGTAGGTAAATGTTGGCCAATGCATAGTGTGTGTGTGTGTGTGGGAACATTTTGGAAAGCAAGAAGCAGCAGCTGAGGCTGTCGTACCCTTGGCTGCCACATAATCCCCACACTCACAGCACACATTCACACTCAACAAAATGCCTTTCGAAATGGCCACGCATATTTAAGCATCTAAAATAGACACATGGATTTTCATAAGAACAACAACGGCAACAACAATAGACAATAACGGGCCTTGTGTTTGTTCTTGTTGCTAAATTTTACCTTCAGCGCAGCTGGAATATTTCGCAACCGCCTCCGAAAGGCGTTTGTATTTGGCAATATTCGGATTTTGAAATACCACAAGGTGCATTCTAACAAGAAAATACACACGCACACACAGCTGCGCGCTCTCAGCACTCACACACACACACAGAGGCACACACGCACACAGTCACTGCAATTCTTTGCTTGCTTGTTTCTCAATGGAAGTTGTTGATGGGCAGTTTCTGGGGGGCCGGGCTGCGCAAGGTGCTGCAGCAGCAGCAGCAGCAGCAGCAATAACAACAACGAACTAACCTCCACTCTTGCTGAGCCGAAATAAAAACGCGCGGCTGTTTGTAGTGTTGTGCAGCTGTTTCTGGAGCGAACGCGAAAACCAAAATTCAACACTGTATTCGGAAACGTAACGAAACGAAAGGGCAAGCGCAGCGAGCAAAAGTTAAAGCTTAAATAATAAACAACAATAATAATAAAATAACGGACGCACACGCGTTGCCCACATCTGAATGGGCCAAAAGACGAAACAGCACTGCCGCCGCCGCGACGGCCGCTCTATTGTTGAGTCTGCTTTTGCTGCTGCCGCTGCCTCTCAGTGTTGCAGTTTCGAGTCAGTCCCGCTTCAACTGCGCGCGCTCAGTAAACAAGTCGAAGCGATTTCGACGTTTCCTCAAGGCCTACAGATTTAGGCCAAAAAATAATGTACAACGCCAATAGTGGCAGATTGCTGGTTGTTGGGCCAGATCGGAGTCCGCTCGGGTCGGGTATGGTTCCCAACGAGTTAGCAATAACAATTGGCCGTCTGATGTTGGCTTCTTGCACAAAATGCAATCGTTCTAATTGCGCAACTTTATGCGGCCAATTGCGATGCAATGATGCGAAAACATTATATTCAAACTTGCCGCCACAGTGGTGGGTAATTAACAGCATTTATCGTTATCGAACGAACCAGCTTAGGTGAAATACCGTTTGGGCACGATTTCAATCTACATATATAATATTTCTGCATCAAATTAAGACATTTATATTGAACAACTTTAAATGCAAAATTTTTAACTTCTTTATATTCCAAGTTTATTTGTTAATATGTACATGAGTGCTTCTTTCAATGTTTACATTTTACATAAATTGCAAATTAATGTATTTTTTCAAATCCATTCGATTTAATAAAACAACTGGCGATAATAAAAAAAAAAGTATTTCAGAAATGTATCATAAGGAATCGCGACTTATGAGCTTTCATTTAATTTAGCTTTATTGCAAATAAAAAATCCACCTTACATTTCTCACGAAACACATTTCAATCGCCACCGTCTTTTATTCGAAAAATTGTATTCGATATTTACTACCCGTTGCACAGCACTGTTTTAATATAAGTGCGTTCTCGCATTTGCAGGTACTGAGGTTCGCTCCGCATTGAAAATTTGTTTACAAGTGAATTAAGCGCGTTAAATATACAAAAGTAGTGTAAAAGTGTAATTATAGCCTGGTTGCACAACTGTGCTGTGTTTCCCATTGATAACTGACTTTTGTGAAGCATAAAAATCAAATTGAAAATTTACAATTAGCCCGCTGTCTGGTGCCGCAGTCAATATAATTATACTGCCCATTGGTTTACATAAGAGCGAAAGGGTCGGCTAGTGTACTATTTGCAGAAATGGCGTCGAAGTGGTGCACATGGCCAAGTCGTCCGAGACAATGACTGGTGTGCACAGACCAAGATTGAACTAGCACGCCCTCAATCTTAATCCTTGTATTCGATATTGATAATGCAAACGATATGTGAATTGTGTGTATTAGTATTGATAACAGTGTGTGGCCAATACACTCAAATGTACACCATTTTGTCCGGTTTTTAATTCCGCTTTGTGCACATCATTCGGTTTCAATGCCCTCGCATATAGTGTTGTTGAATGCAACGTGTGTCCAGTGTTGTGCATGACCAAAAATCTCAACAACGTTTTCACATTTGTTTATTGACAAATTTTTTGGTTTAAAATTTACAAAAGTCAAGTGCAAGTGATCTGTGATTTGCTAACTTATGTGTAAATAAATCGCATGAATATTTTATAACACTTGATCTGCTTACCATACCAAGATATTTGCAGCTGGCAACACTGCATTTTGAACTCCAGCGGCGGCAGTGCGAACGAGACGCCGATATTGCGCCTTAACGAAGACCGAGCACAAAGCAAAGTAGAAAACCGAAGCGAACAGGCCCAAGAGTTTATAAATCAATTTTTTGTGTATGCAAGAGCTGTGCAATTCATACCGCAAATAAGGTATTTTTTCGGTGTAATGCAAGTGCGCATTTCATTATAGAATACATATATATATATATACACCAGTGCAACAAAATGAATATAATTTAATTTGAACTGTTTGGGGTTGTTTAGTTACTGATATACAAAAAAGAAAAAAAAGTGGTTCCATGATATGCGTTGGCGGTGGCGGCGGCGGCAGCTGCTGGCTTGGCAATTCGAGTATGACAAAGCTTTGTGATATGAGCAATGTGACGAAAATTGTTAATCATCGCGCGAATTGAGCTAAATCTTAAGGCAAATATGAATTGGAGAGCATTTAAAACAAATTGGATGATCATATTGACACCTAAAATGTTCTTTATGCGAGAGCAACAACCAACCCCCCGCTCAGCATTTCCCCTCGTTGTCAGACGTCGATCACGTTCCGCTGCCCGCACCGCATCCTCCCCTGTTACCTGTTTTGCGAATACACACGCCCGCCTCGATGGCGTTGCTATTATTGCTTTTGTACTCTACTTGCTTTATCCTTCCGTTCGTCTTCATTTCGGTTTCGTTTGTTATTCTGAAATTCTCAACGTTTTATAGTGCGTTCCACTTCGTGCGTGGTGCGTGCGTGTGCCATCTTTGCGCGTCTGATTGTGTGCATGTGTGTGTATATGTATGTTTTTGTGTTTGTTCACGTTCTCTCATTATTCCATTCTCTTTGATTAAATGTACATTGAACTCAGCTGGGCCATCTAGTTAGCTTGGTCTTTCTTTTTTTTTTTGCCATTTTGACCTGATGCTTCGTCTGCTTTGCTACCATCCCATTTCTTATGAGCGTATGACACTTGTTAGTTTTGTTTGTCTTTTTGAGTGATGCTTCATTCTCGCTGTTTGGCAACACTGAAAAATAAAACAAAGAAATACAACTTAACGGAATGGTTTGCATCTTATTTCTGTATGACTGCACCGCTCTAACAAGTGTCTTTTGCATCCCTTCAACAACTAACAAGTGTCATTCCACTATTATAGAAAATTAAAGTTAAATGAGCCTTAGAATAAATAGTAGGCATCGCTTTCGCTACCAATTTGCCAAGACGCCAGTTTTGTTCAAGTTGTTGTTTTAAAGAGAAATCTTGTGTGATATTTATCCAAATCAAAGTCAAATTTTCAATTTCCTGGCATTTTTGCACTTATTGCAGCTAATTTGTATATACAGTGTACATAGAGATGAGCACACAACAAACTCGTTCGGGGGGCGGCGGCGGCCGCACTCAGAAAAAATCAAATTCCGCTCACATTGGCGGTGGCGGTGGCAACAATGATACCGGTGCTATGACACACGGCGCAGCGGTACATAAGAAAGCCGATGCGAACAAGACAGAAAAACCAGAGAAGGCCCAACCAAAGGCCACCACGGAACAGTTGCGCATTGCCCAGATAACCAATAGCACCACAGAGGATCCGCAGATCAATGAAAAGGTCACCCTATTGCTAACAATGACCCAACGTTCCGAGGAGGAAGTCTGCTGCGCCTTGAATGAGTGCGATTATGATCTGGATGCGGCGGCCAATTTCTTGATTGAGATTCTACCACAGGTGCGTTCAAAAACAAACGCCACGATTATCCATTGTAAACTGTATGATAACCACTTTTGCAGGGCGCCTTTGCCAAGTACGAGAAAAAACGCAAGAATAAGACTGCAAATGCAGTTGCGGACGGCGCCGGCGGGGATGCCGATTGGGCAGATGGCAACGCAAATGCGGACAGGCGCGAAAAGTCGCGCAATCGCAGCGCCAATCGCGGTGGACGCGGCGGCACCGACAGTCGCGGCTGTAAGTTAATAATTAATGCAATTTCATTATATATTTTGATAACAATGAATCTTCCCCAGGGCGCGGCAGAGAGGCCCGTGAGAATGACCGCAACATGCGCGAATCTCGTGGTGGCGATCGCGGTGAAGATCGCGCCAATGACAACTATCGTGGTCAGCGTAATGGCGGGCGTGGCGGTCCTGGCGGCGGCGCCGGTGGTGGTGGCCGTGACGGTGGACGGGGCGGCGGTTTTATGTCACGCCCCGGACGCGGCGGTGGTCGCATGGGCGGACGCAGTGGCGGGCCGCGCGGTGATCGCGGCTACGGCTTACGCAACAATGCCAACAGTGAGGATCACCACGAGGTTGAGCTCTGGGACAACACCATAGCGCAAAATGCCGAGAAACAGCAACAGCAGCAGTCGCACGACGACGCCTGGGGCGACTGGAACAACGAGGAGTACGAGGGCTCGCTCAAGGACAGCAAAGTCTTTACGCCGAGCAATCTCAACTCGCAGACGGCGGCCAGCGTGGTAAGCGGTGGCGGTGCGGCGGTTACAGCCGCTGAGTTATCTGCGCCGCCAGGCCTGGAGCATCATCATCTGGGCGGCAGTGTGGCACAAGGATCTCATCTGAGTGCGCTGGTTGGCAGCAGCGAGGACAGCGGCAGCTCGGCGCCAGCGCCAGTCGCCAGCATTTCCGGCACATCAGCGGCGACGCCGATGATGCAGTACAGCGCAGCGGTCAGTAATCCGCCTCCACAGCTGCAGTCGGTAGTAAGCACGCCGAGCAGTGTTGCGGGCGGTGGTGCGAGTGTTGCGCTGAATTCCTCGCCCTATGTCGCCAATGCTGCCGCCGATACATTCTCGAGCGCTGCCTCCGCGGCTGCCACGTTAGTGCAGCAGGCCCAGCAGCAAGCGCAGCAGCTGCAACAGCAACAGCAGACGCCACTGAAGCCATCGGCCACACTTTCAGCGGAACAATCTCAGTATTTCAACTCGCTGACGTCGCAGGGCGCCAGCCCGACGGCCGCTGCGGCGGCAGCGGCAGCTGTGCAGCCCTCAATGGCGGCCGTTTATGGCAGCCAAGGCAGCGGCTCAACGGCTCAGTATTCGAGCACGTATGCGAATGTGTTCGCCTCGGCGCCCGGCTCCAGCATGGGCACGCCCAACAGCAACAGTGAACAGTCGCAACAGCCGCAGGTGCGGCGGGCACGCGTCAAATTGCCGCCACCCTCGAAGATACCTGCGAGCGCAGTTGAAATGCCCGGAGATAATGCCTTGAACAATATTGGCTACTTGGATGTGCAATTCGGTGCCATGGACTTTGGCACAGACGACAGCTTCGATGCGATGCCGGAGAAGTTCAATGCGGGCGTTAGCATCGACGGGCAGCAGCAGCAGCAACAACAGCAGCAGCAGGATGACTACCAGACCAAGTCACAGCAGCAGCAGGCGGCGCTCTCAGCCGGGCTACAGAACGCGCAAATTGTGAGTAGAGTCTCGAAACATATGCTTCTCGAGGGATATAGCAAATGACTCATGCATATATTCGAATCAGTTGCAGGGTGATGCTTTAAGTGCGGCTGGCTATGCGGCGAGGTCGACGGTGCAGCAACAGAGCGGCAATGCGCTGGATCAGCTGACCAAGAGCGATCCGTATGGACAGGCGGGCAGTGGCAACAATGGCGCGACGCCATATCAGAATGCGTATCAGAACAGCGCCGCCAGCAAGGCGAACAGTGCCTATCAGACGTCTGCTGCCGTGCAGGGCTACAATAGCTCCAGCTATGCAAACGTTCAGTCCTCGGTGGCGAATAGCTACCAGCCCTCTAGCTATGCCAGCTATCAGGCCAATGCCGTCAATTCCTATCAGCAGCAGCAGCAGCAGGCGGCCGGCAATGCGCAGAACGCGACGGGCAGCGTTGGCGGCAGCGGTGCGACAACACAAAACATTCCGATCAGCGGCGGCGGCGGTCAAAACAGCTCCAGGTAAAGCCTCATCCTCCCAATCCAGCTTGTGTTTATGCGTTTATCTTGTTGCTCCTAACTCGTAACTCGAAATCATCCAAATGCAGTTCTAATATTTGATTTCACAATGTTTTTGTTTTCGTTTTTGTTAACTTTTTTCTTCTCTTTTAACTCCACTGCCCTGCCCCGCTCCGCTCCTCCACAATTTAACCCCCATTGCCAAATAACAGCGCGAATGCGAGCTCCGCCTATCTCACATCGGGTTATTCGACACCACAAAGTGCTTACCAGTCCAGCCAGAGTGTCTATGGCAACACTGGTCTCTCCAACAACAGCGGGTACGTATGGGCTTTAACCTTCCAGTCAACCATTGTGCCATGTATAACCCGTAGAGCACCTAGCCTCTCATCTGCTTGAAATTGAAAATATTACAAATTAGCATTGCATGTTGAATTTTTGTTTAAATCATTAGTTGGATATTAGGTTTTAGCTCAAATAGAAATAATCTTCTAGGGGTAATAACAAACGTGATTTTAAGTATGCAAGTGAACCCAAACATTTTACTTTTAATCGTCCAAGTATATCGAGTACAATAATTGACGTGCTTAGTCATGGTCATATAAACAAAAGACATTGTCCACAATATTTGAACTATTAGTTGACAATACGTGCATAACTAAAGGTTCTGATAAAGCTTTTCTTGACGATATCAATATGTTGTAAATAAAATAAATCAAATTTGTATGCAATATATCAATAATTTGTTACAAATCATATGACCCTTAGTTTCAAATTCTTTAAATGTGCAGATACTCTGAACATTTTGTATATATTTACAGTTGTTTAACATGGCTGATGATGTTATTTAGAGCACCTTTCACTGTTATTTAAAAGTTGAACTAAATTTGTGACTTGGAATTACTTTTCTTGTAAATAGTAAAAAAAAATTGTTGTTAGAATTTATACTAAAATCAGTTCTGAAGATTCATTAGGTCTAAATCCAACAAAAATAACCCATACTAACCTACATATATATATATATATATATATATATATATATATGTTGATTCCTTTGTTTCCGTTTGTTTTGTTAATACCCTTGCTGTGTGGCACATTGGCAGGTTTGCTGGCAGCGCAAGCAACTCGTCCTCGCAGTATGGTAACTTTAGTGCTAGCGCCAAGCTTAAGGATGCTGCGGCAGCCGGAGCTGCAACGCACTACGACAGGTGAGAGATTGAAGAGCACGCCAAATTGCACGCTATAACTAATTACTAACCGGATGTATGTCTAATCTGTGGGAGATCAACTAAATTCTTGTTTCTTTCGGACAGTGTCTCCACGAGCAGCGGCGTGAGCAGCAGCAGTGCCAGCACTGGCAACGGTGCGGCGGGCGTGGTCAGCGGTGCGACAGGTGCTAATCAGGCGGTCGTTTCCAATAGTGAGTGCCACATAGAGCAATCCACAAGTAGACCGTATCCTTAATCCGTATTGTTTTTTACGCTTGCAGCCAACAACAACGTGAGCGGCAGCAGTTCGGCCAGCAGCGTTGCGGCTGGTGGCAACAACAGCAACAGCAGCAATGTGGTAGCAGTTAGCAGCCAGGGTGGCAGCTCGATAGCGGGCGTAAGTGTAAGCGGCGGTGTTGGTGGCGGTGTTGTCGGCGGCAGTGCGTCCAGCGTCGGTAGCGGCGGCGTCGTTGGCGTCGGCGTTGGCGTGGGCGTTGGCAGTGGCAACAATGCCGGCTCTGTCCAGGCCGTTGCACAAACATCGGCGGGCACCGCAGCGGTGCTGGCCTCGCTGACCAACAAGAACAGCAGCAGCAGTAACAGCAGCGGCAGCGGTAATGGCGGCACCGGCGGCGTCGGCGCTACAACTGGCGGCAGCGTCGGCGCAGGCGGCAGCAGCAGCTCAACTGGTGCTGGTGGTGCTGGTAGTGGTGGTGGTAGCGGCGGCGGCAGCAGCGGCTTGGTGCCCACCAACATCCAAATGGTTAGTCAATATATTCAGACTGGATTGCCATACTATCAGCAACCAGTTTATTCCTACGAGGAATTACAAATGATGCAACAGAGAGTGCCACATGTGGTGAGTTCATGGAGAAAAGCAAAATGCAAACCAAATAAATTTAATAAAAAAAAAAATCCAATACCAATACCAAATACCTACAACAATTCAATGCAACCAAAATCAAATTCGTATAAAGCAAAACATATTCAAAATTCCATTTGCTCATTTATCTCAATCAATATCAATATCAATTCATATCAAATCGTATCAGATATATAATTCTAATGGCACTTTGCACGTTGCAGCCGTTTTTCACTTTTCAACTGTTCTTCTCAAACAACGTGCATTACATTTTCCCCATGTATTAACAATTTTCCGCCAAACACGTTGTCTGTGTCCAATGTCTGCGTCTGTCTCTGTGTGTGTGTGCATAAGTGTATATATATATTTGCACGCGTGTGTGTGTGTGTTTTGTCTCTATTTGTAAATATTTTATTGAAGAGGTATTCTTGCACTCTATTGTTATTGTAAAATCACATAATTGTCTACCATATTCCGCTTCCAATCCAATCCTTGCATAAAAAAAGCTTCTTTTTTTTTTGAACAAATTATTTTTGCAAAGTAAAAATCGTAAACATAAACAATCAAAAATTGGCATTTAAAAAATTCTTACGCTCATTAACAAGAAAGAAATATTTCAATTTCGTTCCGCTTTTGTCAGTGGAATTGAGGTTCAACTATTTCCACCGCATCCTCTCTCCACTCCACGCTCATTCAAAAAAAAAAAAAAAACATCATTATTATATTTTTCTAACCAATTTGTTTGTTTCGTTCCTTTCTTTTTTATTTTTGTTTTTTTTTTATTATGGCACTTGACATTTAACTTCTTTTTGTTTTATGTACATTTCATTTCCATTTCGCTCGCAGTCGTGCCAACTGTCAAAGTTTCCGTTTAAACATTTCGTGAAGCCCTGGCAACGCTGTGCCTAAACCATAATCGCAGCTTATCTCATAATATTCGCTGCCAGATACGCCTTGACAATTGTTTATCGCTAATTGGGCTTATTTTTAACTTTTCAGCAAGGGTATTATGATCTGAACTACACGCCCACCAGCCTGGGCGCCGGACGCGACAATCTGGGCTCTGTGGCATATTCAACCATGACTGATGGACGCTTCGCGCGCACCGACAATAACTCCAGTCCTGTTAGTAATGTAAGTGTAAACTCCCCAAGAAATATTCCCGAGAATATACTCCAAAGGTAGTTAGACGAGCTTTCAAAAGTAATTAGGCAATTGTAATTTAGGTGAATGCGCCAAAGATTGTGACTACGGGTAGATTATATTTCAACATGTATGTGTATGTAATTAAGGAATGCAATCTCCATGAAATTTTCCAGAGAATATACTCTAAAGGTAGTTAGACGAGCTATCAACTCCATGAGTTCACAAAAGTATTTAAGCAATTGTAATGTAGAATGAATGCGCTCAAGATTATGACTATGGGTAGATTATATTCAAACAAAATATATAGACCTCGTATGCAATTGCTTAGACCAGAAGATAGCTTTCAAATCTTCTTAAAAGAGGGTAATATTGTACATGTGAATAACTAAAGAATTTAAGATAAAAATATACCCAAGTTATGTTTTGCAGTCCGTGCATATATCAATATCAATATTATTTAAAAGATATTATGTACAATATGTTACAAGTTATATAGAAAATTCTTTCATTTAACGTTGTCATTATTGTAGCACTTGAGATTTCAAGACTTCTTCGAATATTTCAGCATTTAAGCAGATCTCATCTTGAGTTTTATTAACTAAATGAGTTTACTTCTATTGCAGGTGTCTAGCACAATGTCGCAACAAGCTGGCTCCAGTGCGCCCATGCTGAATGTTCCTTATGCATATTTCTATGGTGGCAATGTAATGCCCGGCGGTTTCCAATATGGCACGCCAGCCATCTATCCAGTAAGTCGCAGGAATTATCACATAACATTCAACTAAAACTAATTATGCTTAATGCAATTTTCAGCAACAAATACCGGCTGCCAATACCGCATCCGGTGGCCAGTTCCCAAAGCCTTCGTATAGCGCGGGCTATGGCTCGACCAGTTATGATACGCTCTCACAAACAACTCAGGATTACAGCAAGGGCGGCTACTCGTCCAGCGTGAATCAGCAGAGTAAAACCCAAACGGTTTCCAATCAGCCGCAGGCGGGCACCGGCTCCGATCTGACCTCGTCAATGTACGGCAAGGGTCACGTGGCGCTAAACAAGGTCAATGTGCGTATCGAATCAGATTATACATGCATATAAATATATATATAATATCTCTATTTGTGCAGTCGTATGAGAAGCAGAGTTTCCACTCGGGCACACCGCCGCCATTCAATATGGCAAATACGCAGACAGCTGGCGGCACCTCGGCCCAGCCGTATGGCATGTATCTGCCAATGCCAGCGGCCGGACATCACAATATGATACATCCGCCTATCCATCAGGTAGAGTACAATTCCGAACAGCAGTTTTTATTAAATCAAGAGCAAAACATTCAAGTCGCGTACGAGAATGAGCAAATGTGGCATCAGAATCAACATAATAATCATGATTATGCAATGTCGGGACACAATCAGCAAGATAATAGCAACTATATACAAGACGATCTCAGTGGCATATCGTTTTTCGCTGAGTAAAGCAATTGAGAAAAACTGAATATGCAATTCGAATCGAATGAAGAACATTATTTAGCAACATTTTAGCAAAATTAACAATCTACACACGCATTTTACACACACACACACACTCTCACTAATATCACACACACACCTCCTCTCTGTCATATATTTATTGTTGAACAACTATCGACACTTGAAACTCATGATAATGCATGTTATTTGCGGGCCATTTAACATTCCTAATCAAAATTTTCAATTAGTTTTACATATAGTTTATTGTTTCGTTTTTAGTTTTTGTTTTTACACGTAGAACTTGTTTTATTTTGTGTTGTTGTTGTTGTTGTTATTCTCAAACCTCATATTAACATATTCTTCAATCTGAAAAAAAAAAAAAACCTAAAATACTTACAAATTCACTTGGCACATGGCGCACTATTCTTTTTAGCATTAACCCAACATCTTGGTTTAAGTTTTATTTTATTTCCAAATAAAGGCTGCAAATCGCTCAGTTTATAATGCGAACCAGTTGAGGAGAAACTAATCCATAAAAACTAAACCACACAAAAAAAAATAATATACTGAACCATGTAAAGAACTGTGATATAGTTGAAATATCGAAGCTTTGAATATGGTTCAAGTTTTGCACTACGCAAAGAACTAAGGTATGCTTTTAAACTCATGTTGAAGAATAACATGGTGTACTATGATGTGATTCAGTGTTCAAGCCTAATAGAGAACTCTGATATGATTCATCCCAGAGATTAAATTCTCAAACATCAAACACTCATGTGTCATACTAAGAGCTGTGATAAAAAGCAACTTGATCAAATCTTACTTAAGAACTATAATCAGCTTTCGGTTTCTGGTGTTTTGTAGCCTTTTTAAATATTTAATTAACCCGTTTCACTTTGTTGTAGCATTTGTTTTAAATGTAGCTAACAAAAAATACATTTTCATGCATTTTGTTCACAGAGCTAGGCTCATTTTGCTTTTCGGGAATATTTTTGCGCTCTCTTGCTCCCTAGTTAGTTAAAGTTACTTAGTTAGTAGTTAAACTTTACACGCACACACTTTATCTCTCAGTGAGCTTAATTTCGTCTAGTTCTGGAGTTATGCGCTATGGGATCTGCAGCAAAAGTACAAGAAAACCAAATAATAAATTGTGAAATGCATGAAACTGTTTGATTGTTTGACTTTTTTCTTTATAATTTCTTTTGATTTTTTTATGGGACAACATTAGATGGACGGCAGGATTCATAGCTCATCCCGCCGGGTAAGTTTTCCTTTGTTGTTGTATCAAGTGAATAAAACCAAAACCAAAACCAAAACAAAACAAAAGCATAAATAACAATTTAATAAATCGTCTTTCGTTCGTCTTTGGTAACTATCAAATGTTCCTATCTGTATGTCTATAAAAACTAACACCTCTCACGCACGCACACGCACATAATAATTACTTGTATATCTTAAACTAATATTTAGTAAAAATAGTAAAATACATTAGTTGGCTTTTGACATTATTTTGACAAATTGTTGCTGAAGGAAAACAAGGGCTAAACGAAATATTATTCATGCATATCACACAGCAGTGTCCATTAACGTGTATACATATATATATGTATATATAATAATTAATAACTATATATGTTTTTATGCTCTCTATATACTCTATATATATAAATCGTTAAAATGCTGCTAACACCTCACACTTATATATTTGTATGTATATGAAAGCTGGCTTTAACCAAAGAGCCAAAACATAAAGAAATATATATATATATGAAAGACCTTATATATTAGATTATATAGCATTTAAACTAATTTCAACTTTTGCAGGACTCGAACAGCGCTGGCCAGCGCCAACAGTCGAGCAGCCAGTCAAAGTCGGCCGGCAAACCGAGCTACCCGACCTCGTACTGGACCGGACAAAACTAGCTTTCGGAGAAGACCATTTGGCGGCCGCTGCAAATAGCGCTGCAGCCGAGCGCCGGCCGAGCAGCCGAATTTTATAGCCTACGCACCAACACAGCAGCAACAGCAACAACAACAACAACAACACCCATTCACATTTATAACAATAATATCAGTCAGAGAACGAGTTCAATAACAACAGCAACTAAAGCGACAACAGCAACTGCAACAAATCAGTTACTAATGTTAGTAAAGGAGAAACAACAGCAACATCAGCAGCCGCATAATAAATCTGAGGAATATCCAATAAGCGAAACGTTGAGCGAGGAGCATTCATCAGAAGATAATGATGATTATCAAATATATGAAGACGAGAGATCATATTTTACCTAATAAGAAATGTTTTTACTATGAACGCGTTGAGCTCGCCTCCTCCCTCTCCCTCCCCTTCTCCGCTATGGAACGTGTCGAAGTGCAGATCTATGCATCTTTATAAAGTATACCAAGTCCAGGCCAGCCTCCTCCCACTCACATACCATACCATATAAAAAACACACACTCACACTCGCATACACAAATGCAACAACCAAAATACACACACACACACATACGAACGCATACATAACACGTACAGCCAACAACATCTGCATATATAAACTATACCAAGTACCATTTTTCACATTGCATACAAATAATTTACAAAGATAAAAGATAACAATTATTAAATATTAAAGGCGTAAAACGATTTAACAGATTTATAAGCGTAAGATGAAACAAATACAAAAACAAACAAAACAAAACGTAAAGTGAATGAAAGAAAAACAAACAACAAACAAAAATTAATTATTGTAATCGGTTTAAACTTATGTGTATTGTATAATTATAACCTTAATATTTAAATTAAATACAAGAAAAGAAGATAAAAGATACGATTAAATCCAAACAAATGCAAAAAAAAACAAATCACGACTTTTATTGGTCATAAAGGAGCACATATATATATTTTATTCTTATTCAATAAAGTGTGTAATTAAGTAACAAGATTTTAAAGCTATCAATGAACCTTGACAGAGATGATATGATGATGAATCGGATCCGTATTCCTATACGTATAGCTCTCATATGAACTATCAGTAGAAAGTTGAGTCTATGAGAGTCTTTCTTCCCTTTTAAAGCAACTTTAGGCAAACTCGGCAACTTGAGGTTTCACTGTACTCCTGGAAATAAGCAGGATCTACGCAATATCGCCCTTCTATGTTATATATGCAGCTCCCAAAGAAGCAATCGACATGGTTGCAAGGTTTTTTCAGCTTCGGCAACCCGCAGATCTCGGCTTTTTCTATTTTCCAATAGTTTTAATCTTTATTGCGAAGTTTACAGACTAATTGAATATATATATATACGAGTAAATACAAAAGAGTACAAAGCATTAACAATTACTGGCTGTGGAGCAGTTTATTGAAATCCGCATAGGCCGATTCCAGATCGAAGAGAAATTGTCGCACCTGGGCCTCGGTCAGTTCATCCGATGCCTGCATTTCGTTCAGTGTGCCCAGCCATTTGTCCACCTTTTGCTTGGCATCAAAATCCTCGGGTATCAGAGACAGGCGATTCATATTGTCGTCCAAATCCTTGACATCCGGCTGCAGTGCATCCATTGTGTTGATCTGCAGACGCAGCTTATCCATAATGGTAATGAATAGGGATACAATTTCGGCAATGCATTTGGATGTGTTGCCCTTGTCGTCGCGTATGGTAATGGGTCGATCTTCACGGATGCGCTCCAGTGCCGCCGGACAGTCGAGGCGAAACTTTTTTACAAATGTGTCCACTGTGGGAAACTCTTCGCATTGCACCTGTTTAAATGCGATTTTGTATTGGACGAGGTGCTTGGAGCACGCCGCTGTATATTCCTGCGGGGTAATGCAATCCCGGATGTACGCCTTTTCCAGCTGCTGTATTGTGTTTATAATCGCATATAAATCAGCCATGTTATCGTACTTCTCACGTTCGCGAGCATTGCGAAACAGTTTCACCTCCTCGTAGAGCTCGGGGCTGTGCTCCTGCATTTTATTACTTTTGTTTTTTGTTTTCTACAAATGCGAAAATTAGCTCAGATGACGAAGAGCGATAGAATTCATTGTCAACAAAAGCGATAGAAATGTGCTATCGATTAACTCGCAGTGATTCATTTTGTTTGTGTTATCGATAGAACAAATGTTTGTGGCGCACAAGCCAATCGAAATTTAAAAAGCTAAAAGTCAAAACAAAATGTATATCTAGCAGCTGCTTACGTACAAATCAATATTTTATATTGATTTGTGATTTGAAGTGGCGCTGCAAAAAACAGACTGATAGGGTTTTCCAGCAAATTTTTCCTAGAGTCTAATCGAATACGCAAACTATGCAAATCTTATCGAAAACGAGCTCTTCCGTTAAATTATTTCAATTCATGTTGTTATACAATAAAGATAATCAAATATATTATAGAGATAAGCCCTCTATTGGCTCAAGCAGGTCAATTATATGAATTACCAATGCAAGTTATTTATTATCAGCATATCAGCTCGTATCGATACCGTTTTGGTCGGCCTAAAGTGTGCAGCTCGTTCAGACATAATTCAAATCTCGTACATAAATTAGTTTGCTTCCACCGATCAATCGAACTGTACGTGATAAAGAGCCCGTGTGTGTTTGTTCTATTTCGTTATATATAAACTCTTATAATAACTTTCCGATGGGCACCGAAAATCAGCAGATTGTAAGTACAAGAAAGAAATAAACTATCGCATAAGTTAAGATCAGTTTTATAAATATTTTACATTATATGCTACAAAACGTAAGTCTATAGAAACTAAGCAAGCGACATTTTCGCCAATTACGTTATATCAAAATATATATACCTGTATGAAACATGCTTAGATATCATATGCAAAATGCGCAATATAAGTACATACAAATACATGACTTAATATTGTAAAATTGTACATAATAACTTAAAAGGGCACGGCCTGTTCTAATAACTTGTACCCCTGACCGGAATAACTATAACTACGTGGAGGATACAATACAAATAGACCCAATTGCAGCAGAGACAGTATGCAGCCTAGAAAGTTTGGTATCTGAAAGAAAAAAGAGGATATAATATTAAAATTGGCTAGAATGCAGCAAATTGCCATTGATGGGAAAATCGGCACCTGGATAAATGAGTCTGATATTAAAACACCATATATTAGCCACTGTAGGCTGACAAAAAACGATGTGGCAATAAGGGGTAGGGGTAAACTCTCCGAGTTCTTTACACGTATCACATGCACCAGGGACGTGAGCGGCGCGGCAAAAAAGCACACGGTAACAACGCAACAAACAATGCCTGCAATTATATTTAAATACGATTCAATTATCGGGTTCCAATAATGCATTAAGGGACGTGCTCACCCGTTATGTATATCATCTTTTGCGGGTCGTCTTGCAAGCTGTTTGTGTACACAATAACACCAATGAGTATTGCTAGAACAATTGCAAATTGCTTTACATAGGCACGTTTATTGACCGTGAACACATAGTAGACCAACGTGTAGACCAGAAAGAGTGTGGAGCCAATCATATTGACCATAACGACGCTCTGCTCGTTGGTGAGCACCCCATAGCGCAACCAAAAACTGCAGCTGTATAAACAAGGTGAAGTTTAGATACATTTCTGTCTGTCCATATCTTGTCTACGTCGACAATTCGTACTTACGATAAGAAGCCACATATGAATGGCACGCCAGACGATTCACCCGTGCTCTTCTTTTGTATATATTTCCGACATATTACGCTGATAGCAGCATATACATAAATTAAATTATAGATTATCAGCGATTTGCATATCTATTTGAGATTATTTTGGGGCTACTTACGTGCCCGATAAAAATTGAAAAACAGTGCTGATCACCGCCGTTGTGGATAGCACGGAATCGTAGGCCAGCGTCATAGTTACCAAATTATATCTACAAAAACTGATTATTAATTAATTATTTATCAAAAACAATAATAAAACAATTAATGTATTACTGGCCAACTAACACCGCTACAACGTCAACAAAAAGAACAGAAACAGCTGACTACAACCAGAGTTGCCAGGCTGTCAGTCAGTTATTGTATATAAATTGCCATCGGCACAATCGGTTTTTCGATAAAAACGCGCGCAAGCTTTTAAAGCTATGCATGGTGGCTACATCACGGAAGCTTTAGCCGGCTAGCAATGTTGTTGGTTTCTATAAGCTTTTTGGCTGCGCCGCTGCTACATGCTACCAAAAAGTTGACACATGTTTTAGTCGCACAAAGGAAGCGAACGGCGACGCCAGCTTCAGTTACGGCTGTGCGCTTTTCTACTTACAATATTTTCAACCATTTTTTAAACAAATTACGTTTATGTGTGTTGTATATTAGTGTATGCAATTCCTGTGTATTTGTACTTGTTGTTATACAACACTAACCCGTAAATGCACACGCCGGCAGCATAAAAAGTGGCGCTAAACACCCAATTACCATTCAGTGTGCTGAAACGGACACGTGTTGCAATTTGCGCCCTTATTTAGTGAAGTTTTATTGTTCATAACAACGACCATAAAAAAGTGCATGCGCTGTCTATAAATATGCCGGTCATTAATAACGCCGAATCTGAACATTTGAACCCGCCATTTAAGGTTGAAATAGCGCCACACCAACAAACGGAAACCAATCAGGTGAGCAAGACCAAACGAAAAGGTGTTTGTTTGGCTGTACGATGTCTTTGAGCTCTGCTTTCGCCTGTTTTCTTTCTGCTTCCCACACACAACTTTTTGTTTACAACTGTAGATCGTCGACCTAAAACTGTTGAAAAACAGTCAATACTACACTTTTTCAACTTTCTGCAAGCACATCTTTCTTTCTTCCTCTTTTCCTCTACTTTCGGTTTTGCTATTCCTTTCATTTTGTTCTAGTAATTAAAACATAAACAATTTTTGCGTCGCAGTATTTTGTTGATTCGTTCTGCATTTTGTTGATGCGTTAGTAAAACAACAAAAAAAAGTCTTATATGTATGTAGTCTTCTGTTTGTATTTACAAATATGCGCGGTACAAGGTCTGTAACAAATAATGCCATAATTCTCTCAACAAATTATCTACACATTTACATAAAAATGGAATTTTGTATTTACATTAATTACAAAAGCAAGAAACACTACGCATTGCATTACAGCGGAACCGTAGCAAAAACCACGATCTTTGTATGATATATGAACACGCATACATACAACCGTGTAAGTGTGTACACAGTTGGGCATGAAAGTGTGTGCACACATCGAACCGTTCACAATATTAGGCTATATTTTTACATTTTAAATATATTTGTTTGGAAACTTTTGTACGCAACAAATAATTATATTGTTTCTTTAAAATAATTGAAGCAATTTACATTTTACGGGAAAACAAAAAACGCTTGCATTATGAGATTAAAAACAAATATAGTAATTTCTAAAGCAAGTAAAATACTTTCTTGGCGCACTGTATGTATTTACAGAATGGCCATGTATTTACTCTACTTTGAGCGTTCATCGTCTCTCCCAACGCAAATGACAATATATAAATTTATATTCTCACCGCATATATAATTATATTTATACTTAGAAATATGTACGTACGAACGAATGTACATATGTATTTGAATGTGTATGTGCTTATGGCGAATTTGGCATTGTGTACATTTATTATCAGCTATGTTTGGGTCTGTCTTATCAGTTTTCCCTCGGCAAATGAACCGTCGAGAATCATTTT